AGAGAGAGAGAGAGAGAGAGAGAGAGAGAGAGAGAGAGAGAGAGAGAATGAATCAGAATGTGTGTGCGAATGTGTGTGTGTGTGAGAGAGAGAGAATGAATCAGACTGTGTGCGCAAATGTGTGTGTGTGTGTGTGTGTGTGAGAGAGAGAGAGAGAGAGAGAAAGAGAGAGAGAGAGAGAGAGAGAGAGAAACTAAGAGAAGGACAAAAAGACAGGCGAGAGAAACAGACAAGAAAGGCACGGGGAGAAAGTGGCAACACAGACTCAGGCACCCGCAGGAGAAAAAGAGAGGTCAGGACACATAAAAAGGAAGCCCCCCTCCCCGCACACACCCTCTAGTGGATGCGAAGAAAGGGAAAAAAGGTGCGAAATACAGGGAGAAGACAAGGAGATTGAAGGGTAAGCGGCCCCGCGCAAGTGGGATCAGGCACATGGGGACTCGGGGAGGGGGATGAAAAGAGTGAGCCGGCCAGCCACCACCCTCTGTCTGTAGTCGGCTCCCTCTGCCCCAGTTCTGAAGTGGCAGTGTGGATGCCCAGATTTAACTAGAAGTCTCCCTGCCCCCAGCTTGGGCTCCTACTAGAGCCCCCTGTTGGGTTTGGGATTCAACTTTCTTTTTCCGAACTGGTGGAAGGAGCGGCTCCCCCACGCCGATGCCGGCCTCACTCAGCGGGTCCTGTTCCAGTGCCTAGCTCAAGCGAGCGCTGCGAGAGGAAGTGAAAATCGCCCAGTAATTAATTTCCCTGCTGCCGGGGGGTGGTGGTTTTGACACATCCGAGGCTGTGTCTTTCCCTGAAGCGGGGGAGCAGACAATAGAGACACGTGGACTGAGAAGGGAGAGAGGGGAAGGGAGGGGGAGCAGGGCTCCTGCTGGAACTCTGCAGGTCAGCTCCTTTGTCTCTGGAAGATCTAAGCAGACCCCCCCATCCAATCCTAACCTGGGGGAGCACCCACACCTTGGAAGGACCAAGGAACTGGAGAGCTCAGTCTCCTGCTCAGAGACAGTCAGGCAAACCCCCGGGGTGGTAGATCAGCCAGAGCAAATGTGGGGTAAGGTCAGTGTGCCAGAGACCCAGCACTGGACTCTGGGGATGCCGGCCTCTTCCTGGACCATATCATCTATTATGGATGCAAAGTTGATGGAGTGGGGATGTCCTTGGGGACTGGGTCCTCCAGTGCCAGTTGGGAGTGAAAGACCAGGACACACAGCCAGCGAGTCAGCAGCAGTTTCCAAAGTATCCTCTGGCACCACAAAACCAAGGTCTATGGCAGTTCTGAAAGTGTGGCTAAGAAATCTCCCAGTAACATTTGGGGACCTGGTCTTGCCAAGATTCTGCATAATCTTGTTTACTTCCTAGTCGCGCTGCTTTCTCTTATGTTCTGTCCCTTGGGACTTTATTTTATTATTATTGTTTTTTGTTTTGTTTTGTTTTGCTTTGGCCTCAGATAGCCACAGCCCTCAACTCACAGTCCACAATATCATCTTGTGTTCCAGATTTAAGGAGCCTGCTTCCAGCTCTTCAGCCTGGCTATCCTCTTGGTCTCTGTGCAGGATGAAAGAGTGTTCTTTACCCCAGCTAACCCTACTTGTCCTCAAGACTTAGCTGAGGTGGCATCTCCTATAGATGGTGGCCTTGACTTCCATAACTGGGGACAAAGCCTGCTTGCCCACCAGTCTCTGAGCCTGTGAGGACAATGACTGCCCGTATCTGACACATGCACTCGGCCCTCCATATAGCTGTAGAATCTTGGGCAAGTTACCCAGCTGATGTGTGCCTCAGTTTCTGCATTTACAAACGGATATAATACTTGTTGCTGACTCAGGTGTTGCTGGGCACATTATCGGCCTATAAAGGAGTTAGGCTGGTGATTGGCAAGTAGGAAGTGCTCAGTCCACTCAGGTTCTGTATGGACAGCTGTGCCTGGAGGGCTGAGCACTCATTTCTCACATTTGTGGATTAACACGGAGGTAGGCATGCCTAGTCCCCACTGGATGGACTAAGTCAAAACTGTCCTTTCAAAGAGGTGTTTGGTGCTGGGAGGGTCCTAACATCAGATGCTGGAGGCTGGTGGGTCCTGTAGACGAGGCGCCGGCAAAGATCTCTTAGGAGAGGTGACAATTAAGCCAAGATGGAAGCCAGTCGTAGGAAAACCAAGCAAAGACAGGGCCAGGAGGTATCCCATGTTCAAAGGCTCTGGGGCAGCAACAAGCTTGAGCATGTTGAATGACAAGAAGTGGGAGATGACAAGGCCAGGTTGCCGAGGGTTCTCACGAAGCCCAGAATAAGTGCATATTGGTGACATTGTGCCTGAGACTAGATGGCCTTGTTGGCTGAAGAGTAGCATTGACTTCCTGTCTAGAAGAGGCTATCTGTATGCTATGGACCTTATTTGTGCGTAGCTGAATTCCTTGCTCTGTGCTGGGTCTTGGATTTCCTCTATTAGTGTCCAGGGCACTGAAAATACACAAAACTAGTGGATGCCAAGAGGTCCAAGGGTTTCATCACTCCAGTCTCCTGTCTCAGAGATGACAGAACAGAGCCCAGATTGCTTACGAAGGCTCCAAGGGTCCACAAAGTCTAGGAAGGAGCTGGAGCTGGCCTGTCCTTCATCAGGATTTCCCCTTGGACAGACCATAGAGTGGCCCATCCATTCACTGACCAGTAAAGCCCCCACAGAAGTGATATATCTCAGGCCGCTAGTAGCCAGCTGAGGCTAAAATCCCAGACCTTTAACCTCATTTGGAAGGTGACATGTACGTCTTTGGTAGATGAATGGGTTTTGATTGTCAACTTGACGTGATGTAGAACCACCTGGAGAAAGTCTCAATAAGGAACTGTCTAGATCAGTTTGGGCCCTGATAGTGCCTATGAAGGATTTCCTTAATTGAATTAATTGATGTGAGAAAATCCAGCTCACTGCAGGTTTGGGTCCTGGACTATATACTAGTGGAAAAAGTCAGCTGAGAACAAGCATCCACACATTCGTGTCTTTCTCTGCTCTTGACACGGGTATAACTACCTGCTTCAAATCTGCTTGCCTTGACTTCCCTGTAATGGTAAACATAACTTGAAATTCTGAGCTGAAATAAGCCTGTGATTGTTTTAAACTCAATGTGCATGAGTGTTTTGCCTGCACGTATGCATGTGTACCATGTGTGTGTCTAAGAGATCAGAAGAGGGCATTAGATCCCCTGGAACTGAACACAGGTCCTTTGCAAGAGTGATGTGTGCTCTTAACTGTTGAGCCAGCTCTCCAGGCCCTCTGACTTGCTTTCTGTCGGGATAGCCGATCATAGCAGCAGAAATGAACCTAAGATAGCAGCTCAGAAGACATCAGCGGAGCACCTGAGGTTTAGAGTACCTCTGCAGGGATGATGGAGCGTGCTGAACTATACTGTGGTGATATAGCTTCATCACTAGAACACCAAGAAGGGCCTTCTGATGTTCAGTGGTGGTGCACACCTTTAATCCCAGCACTCGGGAGGCAGAGGCAGGCAGGTCTCTGTGAGTTCGAGGCTAGCCTGGTGTACAAGACCAGCCAGTTCCGGGACAGGCTCCAAAGCTACAGAGAAACCCTGTGTAGAGAAAAACAAAAAACAAAAAATAAAGAAGGGCCTTCTGTCCTCTGCTTCCCAATACGAGCTTACTGGGTTTGCCTCCAAATCACATAAAATGAAAAAAAAACACTCTATCCCAAGGGCATCTGCTGCAATATTGAAGTCAGAGTGAAAATCCCAACTGGCCCAAGAGGAGAGGGGTTTCCAAGAAGACATCCTCAATGGGTGTGGATGACCATATTGGGGAAGCACATTGCTTTATGTTAAGTGAAGGATGCAGACTTCAGAAACCTCTCAACTGGCTCATAACTGTGAGCCCGAGTCTAAACAAATAGGTACAGAAAGAAGGTGACTGCTGGAACTTAGGGCGTTTTCATGCTCTTTTTTTGTCTTTTCCCAAAAGACTGTAAAACAGTTTCAGTCCAACAAACACTCCTCTTGGGCATGTCTAACTATTTACTTCCAAATTAAAGAAATGAAGTTCAGCAAAGCATATCCTATTGTCCCTTTGGCTTGGACACAGTGGCATTGCTGCAAGGGTGCAGTGATGACCAAATGCCAGCACACTGGTGCAGTGCTTAGAGCAAAGCCTGGCCCACAGTGGCAGGAATGCACAGTTGCTCAGCTTCACCTGCCTGCGCCTTGGCACAACCTCCTGGGGAAAGCCATTACTGACTTGTTCTGTACCCTTGGGTGAATGACCGGCTTTAAGATCTCCTGGTCCATATGCAGAGAAGTTAGGGGCAGGGTCTCATGTCTATGTGGCCCCCTACCCACTTCCTTCTTAGGCTTGGTCTAAGTCTAGCTTCAAGCTGTCTGCCTAGCCTGCTCTGTCTCCTCTAGCATCTCCCTCTGTCCTGCCTTGCATCTGGGCAGAAATCTCAGCTGTGTAGCCTTAGATGGCTGGCAGTATGCTCTGAGGTCACCCCACACAGCCATGACAAGGAGGTGGGCATCAGAGACTTGCAGCTGTCACTCTAGGGGTCATGGGAGTTGGAAGCCTGAACCCTGCCACACTCTTCTCCATCCTCTCTCCCTTCTGGACCCCAGCTTTCTTGTCTGCTGAATGGGAAAGGGACGACATGGTCCCTGAGCTGCTGTCCAGAGCCGATAATGGAATTCTGTATGAATTCCAAGGAGGAGAGTGGCCACAAAAGCATCCGCCCTGCACTGATGGAGCTTTCTTCAGGAAGCCTCATGCACTCTGCCCTGTGTCTCCAGTGCATTTTATCGAGACCCTGCTCCTTAGAGGAGGAGAAGGGTGAAACTGGAAGCGTCTTGAAGCCAGACCCCCAGCTTGAAGAGCTGATGGACGGACACTATTCCTGTCCTGCTCCTGTCTCTCTGGTCTTCCCTGGAGCAGCTGTGATGGTGGAGGTGAAACCAAGGAGAGGTGCCGGAGTAGCATCTGTGACCACAAGAAAGAACCTCCCCCAGGGCTGTGGTCTGGCTCTGGGAAGGAAGAGGCAGATAGAAAAACAGGGCAGAGCAGCTCCGGCTGGGGCAGCTCAGGGGAAGGCCAGCAAACCTGACTTCTGGGTGAGGAATCCCACCTGGGACTGAGAGGTCAGTTCCGAGTCCAGGCCCTTGCTGGGCGCTATGGGATGGAGGGTCTCAGAGAAATGACGCCACAGGAAAAAAAAAAAATCAAGGGCATCGCCTTAAAGAGACCTCATGCTTTCCTTAATTCATTTTTGTAAACACAGAGTTCCAGGCTGCATGCCAGGGACAGACCTATGCATGCACTTTGCAGATGCTACTTAATCCTTACACTTACCCTGGAAGGATCACTGAGCCCATTTTACAGCAAGGGAAATTGAGTTCAGAGAGAGTAGATAACGTACCCTAGGTTTCAGGGCCTGTACATGGTAAATCACGACTCTCCCCAGGCCGTCTACTCTAGACACTGGGCCCTCGCCCCTCTGCCACATTGCCTCCTCTCCAGCTGCAGAGACCTGGGCAGAGATTTCTCATTGCCACTCCTACCGGCTCAGACCTTCAGATCCTTGGCAGACTTTAGGAAAGAGCTGGCCAGAGTGGCTCCAGGTATGAGTTCTAAGCCCCCTGAAGCGCCTTTGTCCCCTATGGGAGGGAAGAACAGGTTTCAAAGCCACAAAGGGTAATAATGAAAACAGGCGTTTCCTGAGCACATACTGTAGTCCAGGAGCCCAAACTAACCCCTCCGCGCTGGTTACCTTACTTCATCATTCTATCGCTCTCCCCATTCTGCAGATGAAGGGACCAAGGCTCAGAGAGGTGACGTAACTTGCCCAAGGAGACCAACGGAGAACCTGCCACTTGTCTGCCTAGCTGCAAAGCCTTTGTCATCAGTCTTCTTTCTAAGAGGCCCAATATGCCAGTGCTGGGTGAGTAGATGGACGCCTGTAAGGAATGTCCCTGCCCTCCTGCTTCTGCTCCACTCACCGTATCTCCATCACCCGCCCAGTGCTGGGTCAGTGGTGGGAGCTCAGTGAACAAATAAATGAAAGTCCCCTTCTTGTGACCACGCCCCTTCACCTCTGGCCAAGGCCAGGTTGTACTTTGAGGACTCCCCCTTCTGTGACCACGCCCCCTCA